CTGCTGAACGCCTGGAGATTTTCACATGCTGTAGCTGATTTGCTGGAGGGAGGTTACAGCTGGTCAGAGTGTCAGCTGGTCTAAGTGGGCACTGCTCCACTGATCTGCCGGACTGTTTGTACCCAGATAACTTTTCCGAGAGCTCTGTTAGTGCCTGCTCCGAAACCAGCTGTGAAGTCATGGAGGTTATCCGTAAAAACTCACCGTTTGGGCTAAAAGAAAAACAAACCAGTTCCCCAAAGGCTAAGCCCTTCTGGAGACATTTTTGGAGAAAGAGCTAACAAATACCAAAGTCCCATAGCCGCACTCCCACTGTAGCAACAAGATGGGATAAAACGCCCTTGGGTCATGCATGCAGTGGGTATGCTTTGCTCAGCTACATTTACCTCAAGATCCACGGGGATCTGTGCAGCTTAACGTACTTGAAATCATTCAGGCACAGGGTGGGCGACGAGAAAACAAAGTTTTCCAGTGATACTACTTGGCTGAGATTAGTGAAACTCAAAAGCCAGTTGCAAAAGGATTAGTGAAGGAGATCTTGGTGACACTGGGTGGTTGAGTGCCAGGTGAAATTAAGTGCTGCAAAGTAACATACATGGGAAGATGACAGTTCTTCCACCTTTAAATACCCTCTGATGGCTCTGAACGAGCTACTCAAGAGAGATCTTAGCTTTATAATGATAGGACAGATCAACATCAATATAAATCCACAGTGCATTCCCCTCTCTGAAGTACTAGGTACAATTTTGGATCTTCCATTTCAGATAGGGCGCAAGTACAGAAAAAGGCTAAAGTACGATTTAAGACAAAATGACCTCCGAAAGGAGAGCAAAAGACCGTGGTTATTACAACAGGACCTGTAATGATGAACAGAGGATATGACAGAGGTCTGTAGAATTACAAAGGGGATGGAAAATGTGAGCAGTTCACTGTGCAAGACAAGAATTAGAGAGCTTCTAATAAAAAAGATCAGTTTAAAATAAATCGAAGAAGTTACTTCACACACATCCCAACTGTCAATGTTAACTGTAGGTTTGAAAAAAAGAAGGACAAATACTAAGAAGAGCCCTCTATATTCAGCATACCTCAAGTATGACTGATCCCATTGGAAGAATGTGTGTGGCAGGTATCTGCACTGGAATAAGGGAAGCAGTGACTTTTTTCCCCAATGAAACGCTGCAAAACTTTGCCTGTCCCTTTTGGCAGAGAGGGGAAAGGCATTCACGTTCCTGCAGTATCTAAACAGAGCTGCCCTGCCCAACTATAGTCTTAGTGGTGGATTAATCATGCCCTCATCCGCACTCATCCTCCAGGGCAGCACACTCCTGGGTGATGTGTTTCACTGCATGCATTCTGCGTGCTTGTGTGTGCATGCTACAAGGCTCAAAACGGAGACAAATGCTAGAGCTAACCAGAGCCAAGACAAGCCCTCAGGAAGCCTACCTGTCAGCTCCAACTAAAAAGGATGACCAACACAGTAGGATGTATCTGTGTTTGAGGTGTTGTGAGGCCATAATTCAGTCACCGACTACAACATTAAAGCTAATTGTTTCTGCTAAATAGGACCACTTAGTCAACCTTGCTTTGAAATAACTACAACTTTAAATTGATCTCAGTAGATGCTTTACACTTAGCAGAATTATTATTTCACTTAGCAGAAAAACTGCGTGCTTTTTTTTTTCTTTTTCTAAGAGCGGAAATCCCAAAGCACAGCTGTAAATACCATTGTGCTTGACCCAAAACGCTCAAAGAGCATAGAAAGCCGCAAGTTCAATTGCAGCTAGTATTTACATTAAAAGACCTTTTCTAAAGCCATTTGTCAACTGGAATGCATTTATTAGTCAGTGTTTTGCTGATCGTAACTATATGACAAAACACCACCCATGCAATGAAGGGATAAAAACCATTACATTTTCACGTGCTCACCCACACTCCTTCAAGAGTACTACAGTGCACAAGCCACAAAATACTTAAGGCTTATTACAGACCCACATCCACTGGAACAGACCATGGAAAGCCCTTCCCAAGCAGCACTGTAGAGATGCAATCCCACATGACCAATTTAAGTTACCTCTGCCAGTTAACCCTGTCTACTTAGTTTCAGAACTAGGGAGATATGCAGGGGAAAAAGGTCATCCCAAAGCCAGAAGCCAGGCAATTTTATGATGTATGACTTCTGATGTATGTTCCACCAGCCCAGTAGGACACCTCTGACTTACTGACATTGCCCTCACTAGCCAGGGGTGCGTACAGCCTTCCTCAAACTTCTGTGGGACAACAGCTCTCTTGGCACTGGAAGAAAGATGAGAAAGAAATCAGTATAATACGGGGTTGGAAAGTTTTGTTCCTCAGTTTGTTTGTTTTTTTTTTTTCATACCAGCTCCTGACCTACCACCAAATGCCCCAGGTGCAAGACAAGCCTCATGGGGGCAGCTGTGCCCCCAGGTAACTTGCACAGGGTGTCCTGCACCACACAGGGCAGGCCTTATTGTTGGCCAAAAAGGCTCTAGAAATGAATGGAGATTAAGATGTGTGGGTCCTGGAAAGAGGGATTTGACTTTTGGAAAGGTTACCTGCTTCTAGTTGCACAAAAGCCCAGTCAAAAAGGGAGGTTGATCATCTGCCTCAGCGCCTCGTGATCACTCCTAGATCCTCCTCCAGACTTCCATATAAATGTCTCTCCCTGAACTGGCTCTTGCACAAGAAAGAATAAGAAAGTATACACAAACCCCATACCATGCCCCTGTCAACATGGCTCTGTCTGTTCTTTTGTTCCAGAAGAGCAAGAACTGAGATGCTAAATGAAAGAAACATACAATATTCTGGGGCACATCTAGAAATCTTATTAATTAGAAGACCTTCCATCCTTATTGTACTATTTCTGTTTGGGCTGATCTTGATAGAACAAATGAGTAGGTGTGCAAAAATAAGCGTTTATTCTTTGCTTTATTTCATCTCCCGTAAAAGCACTGCGATGTTCACAGCCAATAAGCTTTGGTGTGAACTCTTAACAATTATCTTTCTAAAACTGTGCTCTGTCCATAATTCGCTAATAATCACCATTTTGTTGTTAGTTGCCTAAAACATTTCTTCTTTTCCTTAGGCTGCAAAAGCAAAAACAATTTAAGAGTGGTGTAAGCAAGTGTTGACATGAAAGGTGGGGGTCTCAACCCACACCCCGACTACTGGCTTCTCAATCTTGCACCCTCCCCTGCTTTTTTCAGCAAAAACAGTTGTGCAATCACACAATCAGGTCAGCCAATTTTAATCCAGATCAGCTCCCTGATGCAACTCATACATGGCCTTGCATAGGGAACAACGAACAGGAAAGCACAAGGGCTGGAACAAGCAGCTGGATGCTAGACTGAGTCTTCTGGATATATCTTGCAGCTCACCAAGCTACAGCCATTCAACCAGCCAAGTAAGCGACCAGGATGTTAAATTTGAACAGTTCTTGCACACTGCCACAAGCCTTTTGACCCTAATTGCACTTATCAAATCATACAAATATCTTTTCTCTGCCTCTCCAAGAATTACTGCTATCACTGGAGTCCAGGTCTACTTAAATGACATCAGAGCCTGCTTCCAAATCTCTGTGGCATACCTCTGTTTGATTAGAAACACAATTTTCTACTTATGGACATGCCATGCTATGAAGTTCATCAGGGAGATTAAGTAAAAAATTAAAAATAAATTTCTGGACCTATCAGCTTGCAGGCAGACACTCTTTAGAAGATAGACTCTGTAGGAGATAAAGTGCACGCCAGCTTCACTGTGCATGTCTAAGGTTTGAGCCACAATGACTTTAATGATAAGCTGTTAGTCAAAAGCTTTCTTTGTTGAAGAACTGAATGTTCGCTCTTTGTCCAAAGATGTTACTGCAGGTCAAGGCACTTCCTAGCCTTTAAAGCCACCAAGTTTCAAACATGTTGGTCAGGATCCTAGGGTCAATTTATTCATTTCGCATGGCCACATGAACGCCAGTGGGTTTCAGTTCAATCACCGAAGCATTGCCAAAGTCTTAGTAAGGGGACATCCTTTGTCATTTTTCTGCAGAAAACTGTGGGGTTTTGCAAGATGGTGTACCCTTCCCAGCAGGTTTAGCAGTGTTGACTTCAGGACACCAGAGCTTTTTTCTCTGAAGCCAAGATCATACGCCAACTTCTCAGAAGTCCCCAAAATTGCACATAATGTCTTAATCTATCTTGCAGTTGCCAAGTGGCAAAGTCGGAGTGGCTTAGAACCGCTTTCTTCCCGCAGTAAACAACACAAATGTAACAACACAGATGTAGATACACTTGGTATCTGCTTGTCAGCTAAATGGTGGAGCCTTTCATAAATGAGAAAAACAGTACTGACCCCCTGCCAGGCCCAGCAGATCAGTGCTGAATTGTACTACCCAGCCACTTTCACCAGGGAGTACAAATTTCCAACATTTCCCAGTCATTTAAAGTAAATGCATGCATATATATTTATTCAAAGCACAAGGAACAGCTTAAGGCCATTCATTTTCAGAATGGCTCATTTTGTTATGATTTTAGTGCTATTACCTCACCTCTTTATGTTTATGACTAGCTTGTTCTCCCAGCAGGAAGGAAAATATCCAGATGGAGGACATGCAGAAAACAAAAAATGAGCTACGGTGAAAAGTAGCTGACTACTATCTACTGAGGTGAAGAGTAACGAGATCCCAGGGTTTGATCCTCTTTGACTGTGGACACGCCAAGCAAGCGGTACAGGACTTTCTGTCCTGAAGGGCACATTAAATCTGGAAACTCACACAGCACAAGTGTTCATTTCTTCCACATCACACACCGTGTGTTTTGCTTTAGCGGATAACAAAGTGGGTTCTGTGGTCCCGTCTTCTCTCTACTGATACTTCCAGTGCTAACTTCTTCAAAACTATTGTATTTGATCCAGAAATTGTGAAAGCATCTCTGGGGTTTCCTAGATAAACAGCCAAGTCTGACACGGTCTCCAAGCACCCCCCCAAACAGTGTATTTGCATGAAGTTCAGTTATGAAGCTCTTGCTTCAGAGACTATTCAGTTGGACAACCTTTCAAAGACAGCCTTAAAATTTGACTCTTCTTTGCATGTATCAAACCTAGTCAAAGGTTATGGCCAACCACTGGCTACAAGCTTCTGCACTCAACGGGCCCCACAGCAAATACAGGTGGTGATACTTGTAACACGCAGCATGTGTCTGTCTAACTCCTGGGCTCGCTCCAGCCAAGATACAACATCTGACAAAAATACAGGAACAATGAATAGTCCATTTGTTACCACGCAGCATAAATATTTTCCCCTTGACGAACTAAACTGCGGACCGCACACATTTACAGGCTGCTCTGCATGTAGCAGAAAGGATGACAGGAAGAAGCCAGGTTGTTCCAGCCTCACTGACCAAGACCATCTTGACTCCCTCGACTCCCTCACCTGAAACCCTGAAAAACTGCCACTGTTCTCACTGGTGGCATCCCACAGGTATGACTTGTGCACTCACCCGAAGAGGCTTCAAAGGGTCCAGGTTAGCATGGAAGACCTGTTCTGCTGCGTGGAGTTTCTCCTTTGGCAAGGTGCAAACGAAGGTTTCAAAGTCCATGGCCACCGTCTGGTTTTGGATTGTAAGAAATTCGGACAGCGTTGAGGCATTGCAGAGATCTCGCAGCCGCATGCGGTAGCCAGACACAACAACCTAGAAAAGCAGATGAATCTCCCTTGGTAAAACATCCACAGCACAAAGTCAGCTATCACCTAGATAGAACCAGCCACCCTTTAAAGATACAGGGAAGAGGGCACTTTTCTCTATAGCTTGCATGTCCCTGACCCCTGTGCAGCTCTGAATTCTGAGAAAAGCCTACTTCCCTGCTGAGGAACTGGGAAACAAGTCGCAGGGGAGGCAGGTCTCTCTCTGCTTCCCCACACGCAGACCCTGAGCAGAGCAACGCTGCCCTCCACAGCAACTCCTTCTCAAACCAAGGGTACACGCGTTGCCCAACGACCCGTCTTCTGGGAACTGAGCCATGGAGACAAGGCAAGTCTTGTGATGGCACTCGAGCCTGGCAAATGTATGTGAAGGGCGAGAGACCTATGGCCCAAAATCCTGAGAGAGATTACGGGCCAGGCGCGTGTTCTGTGCTGCTCTGGATAGCATCTTCTCCCTTAAGAGCTCTGGCCTGTCTCTTCAGTAAGAGCTGGGAGAACCATTTTGCAGCGTTTTGGGGTAGATGACCTACCAGCAAAGGAAAGCATTAATTTAAGACTGCTACAAACAAGGCAGCAGAACTTACAGTCTTCTTCCACAGGCATGTTTTACTGGAGGTGGTGGTTTCCTTGTGAATAAGGTTTACTTATCCACAGTTAACCACATTACTTGTGAAGCAAATGCATAGAATAGCTCTGAATTATCACAAGTCCCTTGCAAACTTGATAGCCAGATTTCTTCAACAGGGTCAGCAGTGGATTTGGGTATGCTAAGCCCAGCATGGCAAACACTTCATACAGGTCGTAAACACAGGGAAAATCTGGGATTTGGGGATAGGGGTTTGCATGTCCGATGCTGGACAGAGGCATCAATATAAGAGCCTGAATATAAACACACAGTAAATAATACACAGTAAACGAAACACACAGTATATATGTTTCATTTCTGCCTTCTGTTCTCTTATAATACGTAGCATACGTTACTCAACCTCTAGCAATATAAAGATCAATTTACAACCCCCCAAAGAATTAACACTTCCTGCCGATAAGTCAAGATGAGGACATTTTCTTGTCTTTTAAAACCAAAAGGGCATCAGCAATCCAGAGGGAGAAAGAAATGCACTGCAATCAGAACAGAAGCAGATGAAATGAGAAGGAAGAGATTTGTAAAGCAATGCTTCAGCAAACCTTTAACTTTAGTCGGCATCTATACACCAAAAGTAAGATGTTGCTGGGCTGCACACTGAACAAATGCAACAGATCTTGCATGAAAGAAAGGCTGGCCTTTTAGAAAAATTCTGCCACCACATCAATACTTAAAAAAAGGATATTCCTGTGGCTGGAGGCACTACAGAAATACTGAGGAGACCTGGGTTCAGTCTGGAATAGTTTCTTTTGCAAGGACATATAGAAAAACAGCATCACAGGCAGTTCCACCTCCATGTGAGGAAGAGCTTCTTTCCTGTGAGGGTGACAGAGCCCTGGAACAGGCTGCCCACAGAGGCTGTGGAGTCTCCTTCTCCGGAGATCTTCCCAACCCGCCTGGATGCCACCCTGTGCCACGTGCTCTGGGTGTCCCTGCTGGAGCAGGTGGGTTGGACTAGATGATCTCTAGAGGTCCCTTCCAACCTCAACCATTCTGTGATCCTGTGATCTCCTAGGGCCTCAGGTCCTCATCCAAAAAGGAAAATGAGCAGTGCTTCCACTGTCCCTTGTGGCTGTCCATCCCTTTCCCCCTGATTTTAAGCTCTTCCAGAAAGAAGCCACTTTTCCAAAAACAGGAGTTCTGTTCTATATGACCCTAAAACAAAGACCCTGGGACCCTCACCAAAATTAAGCCACCCGCTCATAACAAGTCAGGTCTCTGCAATAATTTCAAGTCACACACCTTAAAAGAGGTAAGACTTTTTTCTTTTTTTTTTTTTTTTTTTAAGCACACCATCTCTTTAGCTTGTAAAAGTAATTACCAAAGGACATTGTAACAAACGGCTTCATAAAACTCACGGAAAAATAAGACAATCTGTGTTAAGGATGCCAGTATCTGCTTGGAGGCATAGTTCAAAAGGACCATTACCCACTGCGCTTCGGAGCAAAGCGGTGAGCCTGGACTTGGGAGGTGGAAGGGATTTCCTTCTCCGCTTGTACATTGCCCTGCAGTTCCTCCTCTGGGGCCTGAGGCCACCAGGCCTGACTTCTGCAGTAGAAAGGGAGCTGCAGAAGTGGATGAACTCACCTAGCTCGACACAAACAATGTTCTCATCCTGACAGTGATGGACGGGCACCAAAAGCCACGGGCTCAGCCCACAGCTGCCTGTCCCTGAGCCCAGACTGAGCCTCTTACCAACAAAAACAATCTTTTTTCCCCCTAATTGATGCAGAACACTTCAAACAGCACTGTCAGACAAATTAATGTTTTACTTTGAGGAGGGAACAAAAACAAAAAAACACAGGAAAGAAGGAATTCTCTTCAGCTTGCAGAGCACTAGGTTATTTTTTATGCACATCAAAACATTTACATGTGGGTCTGTCTACAGCTTCCAAGGCAGGCAGTAAATCCGAGGGCAAGGCAGAGAAGCAACAATTGCATTTTGACCAGTGTTTGTACAACAGCCAGCCCAGAAGGGTCCTGCACGGTGGCCTTGGCGCTAGGGTGAAATGAACAACAAACTAACACTTGCACCAGCGGCCGGGGCCTCTTTACCTGCTGCAGGTTGATGCCCGCGTCGAGCAGCTCCTCTGCTGCGGAGGGCGGCAAGGACGCGTTGCGGCGGAGGAAGTCTGAGAAGGTCTCGTTGTCCACCAGGAAATCCCGGAGCTTCAAGTCTGCAAGGTGACAAAACAAGGCAGCGTGCGGGTTAGGCCGAAGCCAAAGGAAACGCATTCGAGAGCCGCGAACAGGAAAAGGCAAAGGCTGCCAAATGGGGGAAAGGGAATTGCACAAACCGTAGCGCAAAGGGAAAGAAGAAACAGGAGCTGTGGGCAAAATCCTCTGAAACGCAGCAGCTTTCAGAGGTGCGGCCAAACCACGGTGTCCTAACCTCAAAAACAGCACCTCTAAATGCAGCTCCCCTTGAACACCTTTGCTTAGGCTCGGGCAGGAAAAGCCGAAGCCAACCGGGATGCTCCCCCTCCGCAGGGGAAGCCTCCTCCAGCACCAGGCTCACATGGAGATCCGGCTTTCACTGATGTCTTTGTGTTAGCGAAACCAGGACTGGACCGGTGCTTGGGCTGATGAGATATTTACTAGATTGTGGGTTTTTTTTTTTTTTAATTATGCTAAAAATTGCTGCTAGGAGTACTCCACCCAAAACATATTTCAAAACCTGACATGTGCAGACACACAGTTATCAGACGATACCGAAATCACAGGCAGACCTAGAAAGCAATCCTGCCTGCACTGGCAAAAAGATCGCAATTTTGCAAATGCAAAATTTCTTTCCTGAAATCTGCACCTCCTGAAGCCCTTAGTATTTCAGCTGTTGGCAGAGGGGAATCATCTGGAAACTGCAATCCTTGTGCAGAAGTCAGGAAGCCTGGGGGTTAAGCAGCTGGCTCTTGCGCTGTTTCTTTGGTTAAGAAGGTTTTGCTTTCCGTGTTTTTAAGAGACCGATCCCATCTTCGCTACGCGTCAAGACGCGATGCTGGGGAGAGCGTTCCCAAGGCCTGGGTCATCCCGAGGCGTTCCCAAGCCCGGGCACCGCGCTGGTTTTTCCGACGGCGGCCGCAGGGCAGGAAGCGGCGCGCTCGGCACGCAGAGGCCCGCGTGTGCGCGCGCGGGGTTACTGGCGGTCGTTGCTCTCCCGTGCACATATCCAGTTACCCGATCCCCTCCGCCGCCTGGTCCTGCCCGGGCTGAGGCAGCGCCGAGGTTACTCCAGGATGAACGGCCGGGGTGCCCCCCCCCAGCCCAAATTAAAAATAATAACAATAATAATTAAAAAATAAAAAAAGAGAGATCAACTCCAACGATACAGATCAGCCTTCCCCCGCGTGCACCCAGCTTGGTGGGAAGCAGGGCAGCATCCCCCTGCCACCCCAGTGCCAGGGCTCCTTCCTCAGGGCGCTGAACTCCCTGAGCACTTGTTGGTTTTTTAGTGAGATCATCCACGGGTCGGATCGGGAACTCGGATGGACAAAGGGATAGCTGGCTGGAGGCACACTGGCATGCAAAGATCAGATGTTTGCAGGCTTTTTCGCTTAGCTTGTCTCTATTTAGGGTATTATTTCAAACTCTTCTTAAAGGGCCACACACCTCATATTTAAAAAGTTGTTTGGGTTTCTGGGGTGTTTTTTTTTTTTTTCTATCACATGAAAGCAGGATTTTCTTGGCCGGGGACATATTCTACAGGTAATTGCAGGAAAGCTGCTTGAACTACACCTGGATTCATGCTGACCTGTCTGTAATGACAGTGGGGAGTAACAGAGACCCGGCCTTCTTCCAGAAGAGTAACTAACTACCAGGTGTTAACAGAAGGTTTCTTCCCTCCACTTTTTATCATTTGTCAGGTTTTCTCAGCCTTAGAACTTTCTGAAAACCAAAACAATCTTCCTTTTGCAGACCTCTGATGGGGCTTTTCACTACAGTTTGGAACAAAACATGAAATTACCGAAAGTCTCAGTGGGACGATGCTTAGCTGCCTGTTGACTTCATATGGACCTGTTCTTGCTGAGCATGACCCTCGTCTACCTGGGACCACACATGAAAGCCCTGAAAAAACAGTGTCATGATCTTGCTGTGCTGCCCCTGACAATGATTGAGCCTTTCTTACTGTGTGTTTTCTCCATCCACCTGCTCCTGCTCCAGCGTTTTTGCCCAGAAATCCTCATGCAGCCCCCCAAAACCATGGCTGCACACATAATGACTTGCATGTGAAGCCACATAAAAGCACCGTGGGCTGCAATCAGTCTAAATTCCTGTCCTGAATACTTGAGAAGAATGAGAGTTAACAGCGGTTTCCTCCTGAAAACAACCATTCTTCTCTCCAAGATTGCTTGCCCGCTAGGCCCAAGGAAACACAAGAGCGTTTTAAAAGAACTGCTCCAAAAATAGAAAACAAAAGAAGCAGACAAGTCTTTTGAAAACTAATGCCAAACTTACCTAATAATGCAAACATTTGGAGTGGAAGAACACATTTCAGAACCAGAGGCTAACTACTGCAGTATTTTCCTGCCATAAAAGTTCAGACACGCTATCAAGTTACTTAAAAAGAAATGTGAGTTACAAAGGTGTCGGCCCAAACTCGAGGATTTAACCCCATTTTCTCTCACGCATGTGGCATCAGCTTTCGTGTGGTCAGTCACAGCAGTGATCCCGATTTCCTGGCAGACGAACCTTTCCAGCACCTTCTTCCTTAAGAACAGTGCTAGGCTGGTCACTTCTGGGTTGAGAATCAGTGGTTGTGACAACAGAAACATCTATTAGGGGGTGAAGCGGTCTATGTGAATTAGCAGTGAAAAACAGATGCTTTTCAACTGACACATTTGTTCGTTAAACTGAGGTGCAGAACAGTGAATATTGACTATAAAAAACAACAAGACCCCTCTATCTGAGGTCATGAGAAGCAACGTGAATAAAACTGACTCTCCTTTCCATGCAGAAGTGAAGCAATGCTTGTAGGATGAAGAAAGTCTCCTTGGTCTATACAGACTCACAGTCACTCAAAGTTTATGCTCTTCTTTTCCGCAAGTCCATTCCCAGCAACCTCTTAAGGTGGTTAAATGCACAAAGGAGCAGAAGAGCTCGCACCCTGGAAACAGTTTTAATTTGCTGCTCCTATCAGTAGTATGACCACCACCAGTTCCACAGCAAGAAATGATTATTTCCAGCAATTCTGAGAAGCTTCGTAGACAGGTGGGTTAAAAAAATCCCTTGCGGACAAGACACAGAATAGGGCTGCTCTTCTCTGAACACATTTCTTTCCCCCCGTCTTTTTTTTTTCGGTTCACATGAAAGAAAGAAGGGCTTACACCATCTTTCATAATTTAATAATGAATTCTAATTAAAAAAGAGCAATAATGCAGAAATAAGAAAGGCTCATGAGAAGCATGGCTAGGGTTTTCACATCCCAAACACTGCCTTCTAAAAATAAAATGCACGCAGGCTGTATTTCAACATTTCTTAATGCACTGCAGATTAAACTCTTAACTAACTACAGTCACTTGATAGAGTTAGTTAGCTTAGAGGTTTGTCCATAATCTATAATAAACCTGATTTCTCAGCTCGTTTAAAGCTAACTTCAGTGACAGAAAGGACGTTGACAGGGCTGTTCACTCGTCACAGTCCTCTGGGAAGGTCCACAGCCTCTTGCAGGGCTTAAGTCCCTACAAGAACTCAGGTGAAGGCAAGAGGGATTCACATCATAAATTAACTCAGGAAAGGAAAATGGGGCAATGTGCCTAGTCTATAATCGTGCCTATTTATCTTGAGGAACCTCAAGCACACTCCCAGAACCAAGACCTATTGCAAGATGCAAGTGTCCCACGGAGCTATTGGAGGACCCAGAGCCGGTCTTGACTCCAGCAGCTGCCGTTCACAGGTAGTGCCTGGAACAAGTAAATATCAGCAGAACTGAGGACTGAAGCACTCTGCACAATTGCTGCTCATACAGAAGAACCATCAGTCTCCTAGTGTTAAATTCGTTATAATGTCATGCCCTACTGAGCCAATGACCCACATTGTGCAAAACAAACTTTTCTGAACAGCCAAGGGCCAGGCTTGGCACAGGGGCAAGTTTTCATCTACCTTCATTATATTCTCTTGACCAACTTCCCTAACTAACTTGGCAGCACATCCAGAAAGCATGACAGAGCGACATGTAACGTTCTTACTTTGCCTTACTATTTCTTTTTTTCCTATAAGCCATTCTTCCACCTATGTGGTGGGAATAGCTCTCAGAGCTGACTTTTTTGCCTGCTTGACGTTGACAGGAGCTACCTCCCTACGTGTTGCACAGCCCTACCCTGGTTTGCCGACAAAAAGTCAAGCAGCTCAGCAGGCCCGTTGTGCAAGGCTGCTCATGTGAAAACACAAGGCTAATTTTCAAAGTGCTGCCCCTTCTGCAGCCATCACTTCATCTATTTTTATGGCAGGCTGCAGGTCTCCGGCAATCAGCCATGTAATTGTGTTGTCCGTGGAGGTATTTAGATGAAACCCAAGTAAGCGATACCTATAACCCTCACTTATTTGCCATTTCAGACTTCCCTTAAAATAGCGATAGGGAGGAGGCAGCCTCCTGTGTTCTCTGCTGCCATATGTCCAGCCGCTAGGACATCTCCTGAGAGAAAGGGAAAATATTTCAACACTGTGGAAAATGCATTTCTCTCATCTTTCCTGTTGCTTGTGCTGGGAATGGTAAGTTAAGAGGTAGCTGTGGGGCACTTGAGGTGCTAATGCCCCCGTAGCAGCCAGGAACCTCGGAGAGTCCTTCCTCACTGTAGGGGCAGCTTTCTGAGTCGTGATGCCAGTTCTAGCCACTGGGATTCTCAAATGCCACATGAATTTTTCCTGTCCTTACACTGCCAAAAATTACTGTGAAAGGCACAGAACATGAATACCTGTCAGCATGTGTTGATTTTCCTAAGAAAATCACTATCTGGGGATGGAAAAGGCAAAGGGAAGGTAGAAGGACATCTGTTGAGACGTGTCAATCACAGACTGTGCTTGCAACGTACATCTTGGTACAAGAAATGTTTGGATTATGCTTCTCAGTCCTTCTTCCGTGGTACCTACAAGGGGGTCAGCCAAGGAGTCAGCGAGAAGGCAGAGAAGAGGGGACGCAAACCTCTTGGATGCTGGTGGGCAGGAGATGCCTGGGATTTTATTG